TTCTTGAGTTTGGGGGGTATATTATGAAAAGGGAAGGTATTAGAACCCTTTTCATCCATTGTTTTCCATGGGCTCTTAGTTACTTGCTAGATCACTTGCTTTTATTCGAAATTGTGCTTTATGTGGTTTTTGAAATTATTTTGTAAAAGAGGCCATTGTTTAGGCAATCTTTGTAATGATTCTCGTTCGTAAGAATGTATACAAAGATGTTTTGTATTTTTAAATTTTTTTTTTTAATTTTGTAAAATGTTTGGAAATGTGTAGCTGTTTGTTTTTGAAAATTGCGAGGATATTTGTTTTGAAATGGAGCAAGTAACTAAAAGTAATCTACCTACTCAAATATATTTCTTGTTCATTTTCTCTTCCTTTGATATTGTTGTCTTACCATTGATTTGGTAAGCAACCCTATCTTTGGATGTAAACGGGGCGGGCGTGGGTCATTGTATAACGATGATTAGCAATGCTATAAAGTATCTTAGCATTTTTTTAGGGACTAAGATCATTTTTTGTAAGGAAACTTTGAATAGCGTCATCGAGGGACTATGATCTTATATTTGTTTGTTTCGCTAAGATACCTTACATGTGTAATATGGCCATTTTGTATAAGGCAACCAAGTGGGATAACCCTAGGGGTGTTTTGTGTGCAAGTGTGTCATTTTCATGCTTGATTTTGTCTCGGATTAGGGTTTTCTATTTGGTTGATTTTATCTTGCCATACAAACCCTAATTACTAGCATGTTATATGAAAGCGATAAATTGTGAAATTTAAATGTCTTACGCTATTACAACATTTGTGGGAGGGGGGAATACAATTTATGAATGGAGATTTGCAATAATATAAACCTAATTAAACTATTACAACCAAATTGAATTATATTCAAATATTGGAATAAATAATGTACAAGATAAATTAAATATGCAAAGGGGTATGAATGCGAAGAAGATTTTATTTGGTTTTTTATGTGGAAAAATTTTTAACCTAAACTTAATAAATGAATCAAGATTATCTCAAATTAATTAGGAAAATAAATTATTTTTTAGAGAAGATTTTTAGTAAACCCTAATTCTAATTTATCAAAAGGAAATAAACAACTTCTTTGAAAAAAGTAAGTAATTTTTGCATTTTTGTCTTGAAAAATAATATATGGTATTTATGAGGTATTTTGGTCTTTTGTATTAAAAATAATATGCTTAATGAGTGTGAAGAAAAACAATTTTAATTTAATTTACAAGTTTATTATATAAAAATATATGATATGTAACTAAAAATAAAATATTTTCTATGAGAAAAATAAAATAAAATGAACCAAAATATAAATCTAGCATTTTTATATATTTTTTTTTAATGATTTTTAATATTAAGGAAAATATGTTTCATAAAATAGAAATGAAAATAAAATGAATAAATAAAATATTTGGGCCAGGGGTGCTGCAAGAAAACAAGGGGTAGCATGTTAGCAAAAACAAAAAGGCCCAAGAACTGAAGCCCATGCTGCAAAACAACAAAAAAAGGGTGGAAAAAATGGAAAAATTGCAAAAGGCAGCGCCAAGGCTCGAACCCACGACCTATGGCATTTTTGCGCGCTGCCTTACCACTGGGGTGGCTGTACATCTGTTCATATAAGCAAAGGCATAAATATATATTATAAAACGCCCCCTGAAGGCAACTTCATCTCCAACCTTGAGCCATAGTCGGACCACCTGTAACTCTCTCATTTCTCCATGAAAATGGAAAGTGATAACATGAACATTATAGCATTTTACTTCACGATTCTAACCATGTGCATAACTAAAACTATAAGTCCAAGATCAGAGAGAATTTTGTTGGCCCTAATTCTTAACCTAACTTCAAACTTAAAATTCTCTAAACTCAAGCCAAATAAATGCAAGCTATGGATATGTACAGCTTCGTAGCAATGATGTCTACATTTTATATTCACAAATGGAAAGCTAATTATGCCTGTATTAAGAGTTAGGAAAACAGAAAAATCACCTTGAAAATGGAAATCATGTTTTGAAAATGAGCTTGCTTTAGGATGTTGTGATGATCAGGTTAGCTTCCTTGAACCTCTAGGACGTTAATGCAATTCTTAGCTTGTCTTGAGGGTGGCTGGAATGGTCTTGAGAAGTTCACCTGTGTTGCTCTGTTTTTGAACTTCAACAATGGGGAAGATAAAGTTATAGTGATGTTTCAGGGTGTGGGATGATTTACTTGTAAGATAAGGAAGTTTGGGAAAGCAAAAGGCCTAAAAATGCACGAGTGAAATGGAAGATTCAGTTCACAAGTCATAAATGATAAGTTTGGAGGCTTGGTATGCAACTTATGATTCTAGGGTGTTTCAAGGCTTGGGCATTCTTCCTTTTAGTTACAAAATGATGGCTTTATATAGAGCAAAAGGTTGGAGGACTTGTGCTTGCTCAGAAGTACAAGATCACATGTCTTGCTACATTTCTTGTTTTTGAAGCAAGTGTGAGAAGTGACTTCTTAAGGCATGATTCTGATCATGTAGGGTGGCTTGAAGCTTTAAACATGTTTTGTTCAGGTTTAGAGGCTTGGTTTGTGCAGAAAGAACAAGTCCAAGGCTCAAGAAATGGAAAAATGCAAAAAGCATGCTTTTCCAAAATGGCAATGTTGCCTTTCTTCCAAAAATGGCTATTTTGCTTGTACAATGCATTGAATGTTTGGCTTTAGGGCATGAAACCTTGTGAAATCCATTAATGGTGGAGTGACAAACGAGTTTGAGGCCTGAAAAGTGAAGATTTTACAGCCAATTTGCAAATTTGAAAACAATGACCTATAATCAAAGTGATAAAACCCTAACTTCATCTCTTCGATTCTCCCTACTCAAGAATGATCTCAAGGAGTTCTTGGACATTTTAGAAATATTTTAATATGCTATATAATCCACATTTGAAATGCTTTTGAAAATTCCTCTTGGAACTAGGTGAAAAGTTGCTATGAAGAAGATGTGTACATGTTACTGGGTCTCCCTGTCGACGGTAAGGTCGTTAACGGGTCGGTTCAACCACCCAATTCTCCGTGTGAAGAATTGTTGGGCAGGGATATGGTTGAAGGTGGTGGTGCAAGAGGTCAGGGTATACTACTAACTGAGCTTAAAAATCATTATGAAACCTTGGAATTAAACGAAAATTCCTCCGAGCAAGACAGGGTGATAAAAGCTAGAACTTATCTAATGATACTATTTGGAACCTTTTTATTTCCCGAAAGTACGGGAAATAGTGTAAATTTTATGTATTTAAATTTACTTAGAGATTTCGAAAAAACTAGAAAGTATAGTTGGGGTTCTGCTGTTTTGGCCCACCTATACAGTTCCTTGTGCAAAAATGCAATTAAGGAAAAATGTAAATTTTATGGCTGCGCTTTAAAGTGCATTCTCTTATACATGTAGAACAATTAACAAATATGGAGGATCAAGACAAAGTCAAGGAAGATACATTAAGATAAACTTATCATCAATCACAAGTACCTTGAATAATCAAAGGACCATTTAAAGGTAGATTTGAAATGATGAAAGTTCATCAAATATCCAACAAGCTTAGATAAACTAAAAAATCTCAAATGCTTTCCATATTGATCCAATAGAAATAAAATAGATAAAGAAGAATAAGATAAAGTCAAAAAATAAAAATAGTAAAAATGTCATAACTTTCTCATTTTTTTTCATGAAATTAAGCAAATGAATAATGAAAGTTCATCTACTCAATTTGACGAACAAATATCAATACTCAAAATAAGTAAATAAAAAATTAAAAAATTACAGAAAAAAAAAACAAAAAATTAAACAACAATAAATCACTTTTGCTTTTGGAGGTTCAAGAACACTTTTCTACTCTTGATTATGAATCAATGGAGTTTCCTTGTAAAATGGTAATAATTATGGTACTAAATAAATAAATTAAGCAAGAGTAAAATGCAATAGAATTAAATAAAGAACAAGCATAAAATCATTTCTATTAATAAAAGGGAAAAATAACTTGAAAGAAAATGAAGAGAAAAAATAAGAGATTTTTGGCTTAGTTTTATTGAACTATTGGTGGTCCAAAATGAGAGAAGAGAAATCTTATTTATAGTGTGAATGATGAGAAAATTTGAATGAAAAGTGTGGGAAGATTTAATTTTGAAATTTGAATTTTTTTTTGTGTAAAGAATGAATGACATGAGAAATATGGTATAAGTGTGTAATGAAATTTGAAATTGGAAGGAAATTATGTGGCAATCCATGTGATGTTGCAAGAACAAATATGGATTTTGATAAAAAAAAGAATGAAGGGTGAGGATTGAATGAGATGAAAAGTGAAATTTGTAACTTTGTGGTCCCAAAATTGATTTTTTTCCTTCATATTTTGGACAAAACAATAAACATAAATAATAATAATAGTAAATATATATAAAAAAATTTAGTATAATGATACAAACTAAAAGAATAAAATAAAATCAACAAGAAAATATTTTAATTTTAATTTTTCTGGATAAAAAACAGGACCGAAAATAATAAAAAACGATAAAAACGAACACCTAAGTAATCGTAAAAAAAGAAAATAAACATATTAAGATAAACTACACACAACAAAGATTAATAAAAAAGATTATAATTGATCAAAATCGAAAGTAAAAATAATTTATTAAATAAGCACTGACAGTTAAAATGCGACTGCAAACTACACCGAAAAAATAAAGCGAGCACACCAACATGATTTACGTAAAATGTAGATTCATAAAAGTTAGTTAAAGATCAAAACTCGAAATATTTTTCCTACTAATTTCTGCATAATGTCTTATAAAAACAACATTTTAAAGTTCTTACTACATAACAAGAGAGTTATTACCCTACTGTTTTCTCTACTTAAACAATAAACCAACAAACATGCAACATCATAAATTTACCGAAACAACCATACTACACTACTCTCTATAAACTAACAATCCTAACACATCACATAAATCATGCTTAAAAGTTGTGATCCTTCAAATATAAAAATCATCGCTTGCTAGATTTGGCATTGTCCAACACTATTTTCCCATGTGGATGGTTTTGAAGCTCGATGCGATAGGATCGAATGGTAAAAGAAAGTTTTCTACGTAGATAGCCCTGCAATAAACAAAACAAAGAAATAATGATTAAAGAAAATGTGAATAATTTTTTAACACAAATAATATGCGAATCAAAACGTTAATAAAAACTTGAAATGTTAGAATACAATAAAAGTGGAATCCTTTAAAAAAAAGATTACCTTAGTGCATTTTAGTGCTCTTTGTGCAACATAATTCCCATAAGGTTCTTGAATAACATTCAAGAAATCAGTGCTTCTTATTAGCTCTTCTACTATAGCATTAACATCATCTTGATTAGAACATTTCATTAAATCTTCCACCACATTGCTAGCATGCTAGTTCATAGAGAGTCTAACAAATTTTCCACAAAGTTCTTCTATCATCCGTTCATTTACTAACGGAAACTTCATTTTAATTACAAATTGCACCACATAGTTTATTCAAACATACAAAAAAATATAACATTTATCAAAATACTAAATTTAAAATAAACATTCAAACTCTACTAAATAATATATACCATATGTCATACTCAAAAAGAAAAATAAAAATTCAAGAGTGTGGATTCAAACCCGTAACAATCTTCTACTAGCAACATAGCATTTGAGATTATTGATGTTATCAAGCCCATGGCTAGTATCTCACTATCTTTAAGACAAGTTTGAAGAACTGAACCTCCAATCTTGTGTGTTGCAATTTCAACACAATATTTTGCTAATTCATCCAAGATCACCTGTAAAAGTTATATAATTTGAGAGACATTAATATATGATGATAAAATGTAATGTCTAATATGAATTTTCATTCTCTATTTACAATAGAACCTTTTTGAGTGTGGGTGGAAAAACCTTCACACATTGCACAATGACATAACCACCATTAATATTTTTCATCAATTCATCAATGATAGGCTTCATCATATACAATACCGCATATTTTGTGACTGGACATTTCATATTCTCTAGCATTATTTGCATAACTCGAGTTCTGCGCAAAAAAAAAAATAATTACACAATTATCAACAGACATATAAAAAAAAGAATTACACAATTATCAACAAACATATATTTTTTTTCGAGAAGTATCAGTGCTACATTAATCAATTTTTAAAATTACGTACCCATGATTGTTCTTGCAGACGTCTGTTAACTTGTGAGTATCATAGATAATCAAGTAAATAATAGAATCTATTTGGATATTAGTGATGCCTTTCTTTGCTTCAAAAATCTTTTGAATCAAATAGTTGCCAAACTGATGTTTCATGAGCTGGTGTAAATAATCCTTTATCTCAGAGAGTATCATAGCAACATATGTTGGATCACCCTCTTCGATCACTTCTTGTAAATATTGACAGTCGAGACAATCCATCGCCATTGAAACCATGCATCCTCGCCATGGCGGAGTGAGTACTCTCATAGAAGCCATCTCCATCACGCTATAACCTTCATAAGGTAGTGATCCATAATCATTGTTCCATATATTACTACCACTAGTAAAAAATCCTGTACTTATTGGATTAATCTCTTCCATCGAAAGAGCAGTAATAATTTTTAAAGATTTGATGCATTTAATTAATCACTTGCACTACCACTGTTTCTTTTGTTATATATATATATATATATATATCAAATTTGCAGCGGTTATTAGAATTTGAGAAAAAGAAGGTGAAACCAATTTGTTACTCTTTTGTTTGAGGAAAAAGATAGAATATAATTTTATAACCAAAATAAAGATACGCTATATTAAATTAACTATGATAATTATTCCCAAAAATATTGAATCTGATATTTTTTTTCTCATATAGATTTGAATTTAAACTAACAGATATATCTTCCTAAAAAAACTAACAAAACCCCTATTTATACTCCATGAAAAACTGAATGAAAAGATAATTGATTTATCTAATCTTAATTAGCTTTTGAGTTATATTCTGAATAAATCAAATCTTTTGAATAATAATATTTATTAGATTTAGATAGGTATGAGATGCAAGTTTTATAAGTTACATCGCACTATGCATGGTTAATAAATTTTACAAAACTACATTATTAGAAAGTTTATGAAGGTAATTAGAAATTTAAAAAAAAACATGACATTCATCTTTAAACTAAATAGACACGAAAGTGGTTTTAATTAGGTTTAGTTTTAACTTTTGTGTCTTATTTTACTTAATTCAAAATTTATTATTTATTTAAAACTTAAACAGTTATCTTGTCCTCTTATTATTTTATAATAATTGTTTTTTTAATTTATATGTTTTATTATAAAATTCCACAAAACTTTTTTATATTATAATAGAATTTTTGTTTTGAATAACCCTGTACTAAATTTTTTTTTCCGCAAATAACCACGTTTCGAAAAAAATTACGCAAATAACAATGTTTCAGATGACTCTCCAAAGGAGGAGTCATCTCACTTGGCGCATACACCCATTATTTAAGGGGAGACGCCATCTCACTTGGCGTCTAGGTGCTTAGGGCATGCCCTAAGCCAAGTGAGATGGCGCCTTAGTGCAATTCTAGGGCAAATTTTGCGTTTTTTTTCCAGTCCGACGCGTTGCGTATTTGATACAGGATCAACAAAATTGACTTTTTATTTAAAAAAAAGATTACACCCATATGTATTACATTAAAAAAACAGATAAAAAAACAGATAAATCAGTGATCCCCCGGAACCCGATAATGACCCCCGGTTCCGCATCCCCGTCCTCGCCTTTCCCGTGTTGGGTGTCATCGTGTTTCCTGCTGTGGCAGGGTCGATGGCCCAGCGAAGTCAATGCGTTCCAGATCTATGAAATCAGTCAGATCTCAATATCTAGAAGGTCCACTTTGGTACAGTTGGTTACCCATACCCTTAAAGTTTGGTCGTGTTGGCGGTGGGTGGGGTTCCATAGTGGGTCTGTAGCATTGATCATCTGAGTACGGGAGGTAGAAAGGAAATGGATCTCGGGGTGTTTGGTATTGAGGATGTTGGGTGGTTTGGTGATATTGTGGTTGATGGTAACTTGGTTCGGTTGGTTCGTAATCTTCTGACATTCCCAGATCATGGCTAAGGCTGGATGTTGAGGGGCCCATATTGGGATATACAGAAGACTGAAATTGTGTGTGAGGTATGCGGGTGTGTTGGTATTGTGATTGGTATTGCGGTTGGGTGTGAGGCATATGGGGGTATTGGTACTGAGGTGGTGATTATGGTTGGTTGTGGGGCATTGGGTGTAATTGTGTTGTGGTGGGGACTGTGGTTGGGTGTTTGTGGTTCTGTTTTGTCTGGGGGGTTGGTGGGAGGTTGATGTGTGTTGGGTTTGTTGTTGGGGAAATGAGGGTTGTGCCCATTGTGTTTGTGGGTCAACCAAATACTTTGGATGAGACACATGCATTTCAGGGTTACTAACCGACCTGTACCAAGATAAATACTGATCCGTGTGGCACATATTACCATGATTGAGGATAACCTGGAATTGCAAGACATGTCGGTGACGCCTCTGTCACATCTTACACCATTCTGGAGCAAAGTCTTTCCAGTTGGTAAGACCCCACTGGGCGTCGACCCTTTTGAGATGCCACGGGGACAAACAAGTCGGATCACATGGTATCTCTTGATGCATTCCGAACTGCATCTTCACACGGTCACTGTGGTGCATCTCCACAACATTGAACTGTATGATTGCAGTCTTGGCGCTCTAAATTGATGCATCCTCGGGGTTTGGTTCATGGCCCAAACCCAAATATGGTCTCTAAACAAACTGCGAAAAAAATTAAATCAGGTTAATGAAAACGTAATATATAAGTAATTTAAATGAAGAAAAGTTGAATGGTATGACGTACATCATCCGGGCCTAGGTGATCCAACAGATTGTTGTATAGTGTGACATTGAATCTTGGATTCTTGCCGTAATCCATACCCCTCACGCAATACCTAAAGGAAATGAAAAACATTTTATTTTTAGCATATATTTGGTGAAGAGATGAATAGTAATAAATGATATAACTTGATGACTTACTTTGTTGCGTACGGGAAAATGAAAGTGTTGTTGTTGACGGGGTTTAAGGACTCCATCCTCCACCAACCCCAGGCTTGTAGTAAAAAAGCGCAGCCATAAAATATACATTTTCCTTGACTGCATTTTTGCACAATGAATTGTATAGGTGGGCTAAAACTGCAGAACCCCAACTATACTTTCTTGTTTTTTCAAAATCTCTAAGTAAATGTAAATACATAAAATTTACACTATTTCCCGTACTTTCAGGAAATAAAAAGGTTCCAAATAGTATCATTAGATAAGTTCTGGCTTTTACTACCCTGTCTTTCTCGGAGGAATTTTCGTTTAATTCCAAACTTGCATAATGATTTTTAAGCTCAGTGAGTAGTATACCCTGACCTCTCGCACCACCATCTTCAACCATATCCCTGCCCAACAATTCTTCACACTGAGAATTGGGTTGTTGAACTGACCCGTTAACAACCTTACCATCGACAAAGATACCCAGTAACATGTACACATCCTCTAGCGTGACGGTATATTCACCTATTGGTAGGTGAAATGTATGGGTCTCTGGTCTCCAACCTTCCCATATTGCAAGAATGAACTTCGAATCAATTGTGCAGTTGGAGATCTTTATAACATGTCCGAAACCTGCGTATTCCAGATATGGTACGATAAATGGGTCGGGAGCCAGGTAGTTGTGAGACCGGATTCTTAATCTTTTGGTATCCTGAGTTAATAATGTAAAAGGTGTAAGATTAACTAAGATGGACAAAGCATTACCCGAAGTATAAAAAATGTATAACCAAAATAGAAACTTACAAATGCGGCAATTTTGTCCCTTGTGCGTCTGTGAGAATCGCCCATTGTGAGAAGAGCCATTGTTGAAAATGCTTGAGATTATGAAAGACTTAGAAAGTGTGAGAGATTATGAAAGACTTTGTAGCAGAGAGTGAGAAGATTGTGGGTGTGAGAGATGTATGTTATGCTCTGTATTTATAGGCAAAAAATTTTCATAGAGTAAGTGAGGTGGTAGCTGGTGCATGCATGCATGATAAGTGTCACTCTTGCAGAGTAGGCGCAGCTAGGTGGCAGCCTTGGAGAAGGCATCTCTGCATGCATGTAACATGGTTGGACATTAAGTGAGGCGCCATTGGACTTGGCGAAAGAGTTCAAAAATTATAGTTGTCGCCATCCCCATTGGCGAATAAGAGGTGTCATGGGTTGCAGAGTAGGCACAGGCTAGGTGACAGCCTTGGGGATACCATGCCTGAATGCATGTAACACTATTTGAGGTGATGGGAGGAGACTTACAAGTTATAGTGTAGGTGCAGAGTAGGCGCGGGCTAGGTGGCAGCCTTAGGGGTTAAATCTCTACATGCATGTAACACGATTGAACATTAAGGGAGGCGCCATTGGTAGTCAACTAAACTGAAACGGAATATTCAGTCGAGTGTTTTGGGCATTTCAACCTTGCATCACATGGTTTGCATCATGCAAACCAATTATACAAATTGATGGGACTTGGTTGTATGGGAAATACAAATGCACGCTACTGATAGCAGTTGCACAAGATGGCAACAACAACATTTTCCCAATTGCCTTTGCCCTAGTCGAGGAGGAGACCGGTAGTACTTGGAGCTTTTTTCTGAAAAACCCACGTGGCTCCTCAGCCAGATCTCTGTTTGATCTCGGACAGACATGCCTCTAATGAAAGTGCCTACAATAATCCTACAAACGGTTGGCATGACCCTCCTTCTAGGCATGTCTATTGCGTTAGGCATATCGTCCAAAATTTCACGAGGGAGATCAAGGACAAAACACTAAGGAAAGTGGTTATGAATGCGGGATATGCATTGACATAACCCATATTCAAATATTACCGCAACGAGATCCGTTTGTCAAATCCGGAAGCCGGTAGGTGGATCGACAATATTCCGGTGGAAAAATTTACTAGGTCATACGGCAATGGCCAAAGATGGGGGCACATGACAACGAATCTTATTGAATCGATGAATAGGGTATTCAAAGGCGTACGAAACCTCCCGATCACTGCTTTGGTAAAATCTACATATTTTAGGATGGCTGTGTTGTTTGCCAAAAGAGGTGAAATATGGAATGCGGTGTTGCAATCTGGACAACTATGGAGTGAAAGCTGCATGAAATACATTAAGGTAGAAAGTGCCAAAGCCAACACTCATATGGTTATACGGTTTGACCGACACAACCACAACTTCATTGTGAAAGAGACAATCGACCACAACAAAGGCCTGCCAAGACAGGAATATAGGGTAATACTACCTTCTCGTTGGTGCGATTGTGGCAAGTTTCAAGCCTTTCGCATGCCTTGCTCTCATGTCATTGCCGCTTGTGCTTATACCCATCAAGACGCGCTACAACTTCTGTCACACATTTACAAATCTGAAACGTTGCTCAACGTTTACAACAACAGCCTTCCTTTGGTAGCAAAACTAGATTATTGGCCTGCATACGACGACGAAATAGTGTGGCACAATGACCAAATGCGAAGGAACAAGAAGGGTCGTCC